GTATGTGTATATATATATATATATATATGTGTGTATATATATTATATATATATGTATATATAATGTATATATATGTATATATATATAAATCATCGAAGATTACAGTTTATTTACCCTTCTTTGATGATTTATATATAATTTAACAGTGTTGATGGCTATCTTGATTATTATTGTATATATATATATACAATAATAATAATAATATATATATATATATATATATTACAGTTTATTTACCTTTCTTTTATGATATATATATATATATATATAATTTAACAGTGTTGATGGCTATCTTGATTATTATTGTATATATATATACAATAATATATATATATATATATGTATATATATATATATATTCATATATACATACTAAACGGTAAAGAAGAGGAATATGCAAGTGAAAATAATTCCCCAAACAGGATTCAAACCCACGACCTTCTGTTGTCTATGCATAATTATTATAGGCCTACAATGGATACAGTAGATGTTTTGAATTAATCTATATAATTGCAAGTTTCACATTATTTCTACAGATATTACCATGCAGATATGTAAAATTTTAAGTTCCAAATAATGTTTTAGGCATTTTCGTTTTTCAATTATTTGATTTACATTAATATACCGTATATGAACGAATAAAGTGATTTTGTATATGCCTATATGACTTTGATGATAATTATCACTTTGATAACCGTTAATGAACATATCAAATAATAATGATCGATTTCATAGCTAATGTACCTATTCATTTTATTTTACATTTATAGTTTCGATCTTTTCTTATTAACATTTTTGAATGAAATATCAATGAACAAGACTCTCCAAAACAATTCACTTGATCAATGCTAGGCCATCCATAATGCGGTTGAGTTCAAGACCTCGTCGATAATTTATGGCAACAGCAAGTGTTTCTGAGGTAGAGCACCCAAGTTATTAGTATTTAGGAGTCCCGAGGGACGTATTACTCTCAAATACAGTATTCTGTTACCAAGTACATAAACGCAATAAAACACATCACAAACAACGAATGTTTTGTTTGATAAGCATAATAAAAATGTAATATCACTTATAAAACTGACTTCGTATGATGTTCATAATCTACCGAGAGTCGCTGCATAATTTTCTGCATTTATATTATCACAGCAGATCTGAATTCAGACGATCATTAAAGTTGAACTAATACCCCCCTAAAACATAACCATAATGTCATAATATGCAAATAGTATATATCTGCATTATTAAAAATTTAGGAGCTAAACTTTTGAAGATCATATCCTGCCACCCAGTTTCACCACCCCACTCCTCCCCCCCCCCCACAAACAAAAAAGGGAAAACAAAAATCTACAGTTTAAAATATAACTTTAAATTTATTAGAGAGCCACGTATGTTATCCAATTTCAAGACATCACAAATAAAAATTACAGTTTTAACTGACATAGAGACGATTTGCTAAAGGTGAATTGCTGACTATGTTACCTGGATCGCCATACGTCAGGCGTTACTTCAGTAGTTAGCACTGGAACGCATTTTAAACTCTAAATTAAGATCAGAGGTGAGTCATATGACTAAAACCATTAAGTGGAATGGATCATAATGTTTTTGATCTTGAGTTAAAGAGTCGTATTTTGGATTTATTTATTAACTCTCAGTGAGTACTTTTTCTGAATTATTCACTGATTCATTCACTATAGAGTACAGCAATCGAGTTGATACATCTGAAAATAATTGAATGGTTCAAATAGAAGCAAGTCCGGTTAACTAGAATTTAAAATTCCATTTAACTTAAACTTCTATTTTCAACCAGATTAGGGTGTCCATGCACTGTAGTTTGAGAGCATGAGAGAGAAAACTATCAGAAGTTAGCCAAGTTCTAACAACAAGTTAGGCCTATCATAAATTTAATAAATGCCGATTGGTCAACACTTTAACAAGTTAAAGGTCTCGTCGCAGGCTAGGAAGGTTCGAGTGGAGGTAATACTTTGCAAATCTGGTTTAAATACCCTACGTAAGCACAGTTACGGTGAGGCAGTTCATCAAAACACTTTGTGAACACTAAAAGACGTCCATGCGATGTGACTTGCTTTACAAGTAAACCGGCCATTTCGTCACATCAGGCTTTTGACTAAATGCACATTTTAGTTAATTTTCTATTCAAAAACATAACTGACTGACTGACTCACTTGTTGAATTAAACGACGCCAGAAATCCGTGTCGGTAGCTGTTTGAACGGTATATCCTGTATTCCATGAACATCGATTGTCCAGTGGAAAGTAGAGGAACTGGCAGGCGCGTACCAGTGACGAACAGCAGGATTGGGGCATTAGAATCTTGACCATCTCGTATCCTTAAATATTCTTGAATGCGCCCACTTGATGACAGATCAAACGATTTGAACGTTATGTTGACGCGATATCCTTTCGCCACATGGATCAGCCATGTCAGCTCCTGAGATCGGCAGTTGTTGTCGTAAGCATCAATGACGCCAGATGGGCTCTCTAAGACACATCCGCATCTACAAGGTTCGTTTGATTGTTTCTCATCCGGATCTTGTTGAAGAACGACTATAGGAAAAACATATGAAAGCAATAAGGATAAAGTGTAGTTTTGATTTTGATAATAGGGGGATGGGGTTACAGAAACATCTCTAAAGCCATTGTAACAGCTTTGTCTATAGTTAGATATAGTTAGATTCGGTAATCACAGGGATTGTCTTGCACTAGATTTGACCTGATCAGAGGGGAGTAACTGTTAAGCGTCCCACCTTGGGTCACAGATATTCACTCATTTAATTTAGGCCTGTATGTAAACCATGTTCATGGTTAATGACAGTCATGTGTCTTCAACATGATGACGGCTAGGAACAAGTAACAAGTTATTAACAGGGTTATCAGAATGATTTAAGATAAACATAAGTACATATTCACAATATTAATAAATTTATTTTTTGTGATATAAAACCTATTTCATCAATAATTTCTAAGAAGGAAATGTCCTCATTATAATTTAATTTAATTTGTTCAATAGAGATACAATGAAAACATATTTTCCTAAACTAAATAGCCAACACACAAAAGATAGCATTGTAAAACACGATATAATGTGATCATTGATAATTTTAACAAATGTTCGAAACATTTTGCAACGTTATTTAGTCAGAAACTACGATAAATACGTATTGTACTTCTCATTCTATACACAAAAAATATAAATAAATAAATAAATAAATAAAACTTGTGGATACCAAAATGTACACATAAAACTGTTAGGTTCGATTTTTATTGTTATTACTATTAAGTCATCGATATTGAAGATTATTTAGTGATTCAAAAGAAAATAAAAAGAGGAGGAAAACAAAAATAAATAAGAATAATGTATATGTGTGTATATAAATAAATATATATATATAATACAGTATATATATACAGTATATATATATGTATATATGTATATATATATATATATATATAATGTAAGAAAAAACAATGAATAGACGATGCACAATCACTGAAGGTTGACTTGCTATCTGTATTAAAGTTTAATAAAATATCTTTATCAACGTTAAAGAAAATATCTTTATCAAACGTAAAAATGAAAAGAAGGGATGGGGGATGACCCAAACGAAAGACAAAATAATATGTATATGTGCATTGTTCTGCAAAAGCATTGATTGATCGATTGATTGTTTGATATAAAAAAATATAAATTCATAATTCCTAACACGTATGCTTAAACTCGAAGCCATAACATATGTTGCATCGCCGCATATATTCCTTTGTAGGCCTATATCTGGTCTAATTATGTGCAATATTTCTTGCTGTTATTGTCGAATTCAATTCGTGTAGTAGATTAAACTAAAATGTATACCACCAGAAGTCGCAAGGCGCATTTCATTATCTGTGACAGGCCGTAATATTGCTTCATTTGCTGTCTGAACGTGAGTAAATGACTACTTAGCTAATGCAAAAACGTCCTTAATGTCTTCATTATTCACTCTATATTACCCCGGGAAGGTTAGAAAAACATCTATTTCGTGTTTATATGTCATTTTAATTAACTTTCTATAAGAATTCTGAATTAATATTCTTACCAGCTAAAAGTCGAGAATATTGTCTGTATTAAATTAATGGCTAATTATTTTTTGCTATGAAGAAACATAGAACATGCTAACTATATTCGTTTGAAAATACATGTAGGCCCTAAAATTGTTATTGGTATTATAACGTGATTGTTTTTTTTTTTTTTGTTTTTTTTTTTTACCCGATCAGCAAAAAAAGAAAAGAAAAACAAATTATCACGCACTTTTAATATAATATTACATTTAACCAATTACCAAGTTTCAATCAAGATTCACATGAGAACAATGTTAACGTGTTTAAACGCGGTTAACGTAAATGCAATCGAAACAGCGTTACCATGCCTATTAAACTTAGAAACGTTGTAAACGCAAATACAATTGAATCAGACGCAACCGTAAGCCGCGGTTGTTCCACAATTGTCTCAGTCTATCTACTGCGAAAAAGCACACGTGTGTGTTAGTGTTAGAGTCAACGTTGCTTGCGTTTACATGTGCTTTGTGTTAAGGTATCTTTAGTGTGCTTTTCTACATAAGAAAATAAAATAACAATGTCTGTGCTGTTAAAACTGTGCAAACAAAGCAAATTAAACTGCATAGGTTTTTATCAAAATAGCATTGAAAACAACACAGGTTATTCAATTGTGAATCTGAACCATCGACAGGGCAACCAACATCAACACAAAACCCTACTGCGCCACTCGACCGCTGTACATCATTAATTGTTAGTAAAATAACTTGATTGAGTATATCATTATTATTATTATTATTATTATTATTATTATTATTATTATTATGTGATGAAAGACGTACGTGTGGCTGTTCAACTGCACCGAAAAGTCATCTAGTACGTATTAGTGTGCGTGCTTTGTCAAAAGAAATTATAGGCCTACACAATTGTAAAGCTACTGTATACCGTATTCCCTGTACACTTATATAGCTGTCTCTTATATACATCTAGATGTGTATAGTGTGCGTGGGTGTGTGTGTGTTATTTGTCGCGCCTGCGAACAAAACAAAATCATATCATATTATGATAGAAAGAAATTGGTTAGTATTGAATCTTCGAAATGTGTAATTGAGATGTGATTCTAATTGACAGCATATATATGAAAATGATAGAGTGCAAACATGTTAGATCCAAGTAAAAGTTTGGATTTCTGCAAGGCATGCGTCAAATTTCATGTAAAAAATATTCTGAGGTGAAACAATCCTCGAGGGCCAGTATGTTTGCATGAGTCACATGTAAAGCTAAGCCTAGAATAACAATCTAGAAAACATGTTGTATGTGTATGGAACGCCATAAAGGCAACTTTCAAACAGTGGATTTTTAGGCACAGTGGATTAACCAACGCAATCGATGTTCATGCACAGTCGATTTTCGAGCACTTGCCCTTTAGGCATTCCATAGATTTTATATTCATCTGTACTTACCTTTGGGACATGCGGTGATGTTGCAAGTTTCGGTCTTCACGTTATCACCTACACATGGGGCACCACCATTACTGGGAGGTGGATTCTCGCAGGCTCGTGTTCTATGATGTCGCCCAGTACCGCAGCTGGCTGTGCAGCTACTCCATTGCCCCCACTCAGACCACCCGCCTGGTGTAGCTATTCGAAAAGATACATAAACATAAGAAAATCAAAGTTTGTATGCCGGTAATGTTTATATTTTTGTTGTCTACTGTCCCAAGGCGGTAGTAGACACTTTGTTGTCGTATGGCCGTTGAGCTTGTAAGAGTAAATCCGTCGGAGGAATGACGGGATGGGTTATGAACTAAAGACAAAAATGAAAAGTATGCCATGATGGCATGCTAAATAAGACCTGTCCTAGTTACAGTCGGTTATTAATTGAATAAAAACAAACAAAAGCTGCTTAATAAGACCTGCCCAAGAAAGTTCACTAAAAAGTTTTAAAAATCTGGTATATACTTGTAAATTTATTCTAGAGAATTGCCAACACAGAAAGCATGGATTAGTTAAAAGAAGCTAAATCAAGTAGTAGACACACGCTCCAGGTGGTTCCTATTTTTTTAGTCGAAGTCGAAATCTTCTGCATTTCAAATAATTACCTTATCAATTAAGGTTATTAAAAAATGATGACAATAAAATATGAAATATCTCAACAAGCAATGAATCAATTTATGTTAATTAAACCTTGAAACGTGTCAAAGGTAACCATCTACAAGTTGTTCACGCTCCTCTTTGGTAAACAAACAATTAATGTAATTGTTTGTTTAAAAAATTTTGGCCAACCATTAGGATTCATTTCTCCTTTGACAAATAATACTGTTTTTGGGTTACGTTTTTTCCGTCATTTGCTCAGTGACGTTGTTCTGGGCGAATCACAGCCAATAATTTTAAGTGAAAATAACGTTTTATTAACGTTAGAAATCAGAAGACCCGCTTTAAAATTTCAAATAAGGCCATAATGCCTCTCTCTTTCAACTTTTTCACAAATTGGAATATATACTTTTATGTATAGTATTATCTGAAATTCTATCTGGTTTTAACGCTTAAAAGAGAAGGGAGTTTCAAGTTTATCACGTTTCCATATATAATGAAAAACTGCAATTTCGAATCTCATTTGATGAGATATTTATGCTCTTTGATTTACTCGTGTATCAGTAATGAAGGTTTACCAAAGCTATCATGCGATTTTACTGACTTGGTAGAGATACATAACATAAACCGAGTGTATAGAACAGACGACTCGAAATTAAAGCAGAAAATCAAGTTTTCATGTTAATTAATATTGACGCTGATTTATCATTCCTTATTCCTAATTGATATACAAGCAGAGCCATTCGAAATCACGCTGTATGTCTCCGAGTGCCAACACAGATAGAACGTGTGATGTGTTATTATATGCAATTTGATTTATTAGCCTCGAAGAGTTGTAAACGGGAAGATATGCCGAAGGCGCACGAATGCCTGCCTGTATTCATGTATAATATGCGTCGTGTGCAGCATGTTTGTGTGTTGGTGTAATAATATGTCGCAATGCGTAGATCGGTTTCATTATAAAAGATGATAAATTAAAAATATTTTAAAGAAATCACATTACAACATTACAAAATATATATTAATCGGGTAATTAAACTGTTATATTACAGCAGTTTGCGTTTTATAAAGCGTTCCAAACTACTGTACAGCTAGGTTAAACGCAAAATTAACGTAAAATGCATCAGAAAATTACTCAAGTTAAAGCTACGTTCACATGAAGCCCGGATCCGGTCCGGGGGCCGAACAAAAAATCGAGTTTTTTTTAACACTGCGTTCACATCGCGCACAGAACACGGTTGATGGGGTTAAGTACGTATGCGTTCGATTGGTTCGAACCAACCAAGCTTGTTGATTGGCCCAAGAAAAAAAAACTTACGATTTGTGGATAAAAATGGCTCTCAGACAATCGGTCCAGATCCGGAGTCCGGATTGAAAATCGTACGAATTTGATGTGAACGGTCCTATTCTTTACCACTGCACCCATTTTCACGACATTTTCTCCGGACTCCGGACAGGAATCCTGGCTTGATGTGAACGTAGCTTTAATCAGGGATCAGTGAAAGTTTAATTTCATTTTTAATCATCGCTAGTGCCATTGCAACCCGATTTTGTGTCTCAATATCGTCGAATTTATTTCCATTTTTCTCTTTCTTTTTACTTTCTTGTGATGTTTTTCATGTTTCTTTTCAAAATCATTCTTTTATTTTTTTTCATAAATTTAAATATCAGTTCTCATTATATCAATGACTTAAAGCCATATGTTCTGTTTTACAACCAACGCCTAGTAAGTCTAGTCCAGTATTTATTATTATAATTATTATTATTATTTATTATTATTATTATTATTATTATTATTATTATTATTGTTATTATTATTATTATTATTATTATTATTATTATTATTATTATTATTATTATTATTATTATTATGTGATGAAAGACGTACGTGTGGCTGTTCAACTGCACCGAAAAGTCATCTAGTACGTATTAGTGTGCGTGCTTTGTCAAAAGAAATTATAGGCCTACACAATTGTAAAGCTACTGTATACCGTATTCCCTGTACACTTATATAGAGCGTCATTACAATATCGCGAATACATATAACCCATTTTCAAAACTGTTAATTTATACAGAAGTTTCTATGTTCAAAGTCTATTTGTTTATACGATCAATTGACCTATGACATACACGCACTCACGTGGAGCTACAATGTAGCTTTCTATCTATAGTACTAGAGCTGATACATACAGACCTCGTGCCAATTTTGCCACAACTTCAATCAATGGAGTTCAATTGCTGTACCACTATGATTGGATAACCTAAAGCTTGTTTACTCAAAATACTGATTGTGTTGTATTGTACTTCACATTTTGAAAGATTTATTTTCTAGCGGGGTCCACCATGTGGTGATTTGAGCAGTGCACCATGAGGCATTGCTCTATTCTAATGCGGTAGTTTACTACATCTTTTGTATTGTACATATTATGGGCAATATTGCACTGAAACACATGGTGAACAGCGACTGAAAGAAAACAAGAAGTTTACATTTGGAAATGATAAATTACAAAAATAATATTTTCTTGAGAATCATAATCCCATAACGATTAGGACATGCAACAAGCTAGAAATGCACCTACCATTATCCGAAGGAGAATAGGGTACGCAAATATGCGCTTGTTCGTGTACAGCACCAGTTCTTGTCACGCTGACATAGAAAAAACAATACCCGTGGTAATTACTGTGTCGGTGGTGAAAATTAGAACAATCTATAGTATATTCAGTACTAGTCGTATCGATTTCCATTATGTAATCCATAGTACCAAGTGTGCCCGGAGTCTCAGAAAAACTTTCAATTTGCGCGTAAACTCTTATTTTATCATTTGAGTGGCCATGGCCACAGCGAGGAGCTTGGTGATAGACGACTAACCCGTTGGTCGTCGGACACTCCGATACACTTGATAAGGGCACGTTAAAACTATACTTAGTGTTCCACATAATTTCCATTATAGCGCTCATTCCAAATATTCTCCCGGACTTGGTTGCTACTAAAAAAGTGTAAAATCCTGCGGTGTCTAAATATTCACAGTTTAACGTAACTTCTGCTGATTCGTTGTAATTAATTGGCTTCGAATATACTTCCATTTGTTCCGATTTAGAATCGTTGTACCTACGATATCTGGCAATAAATTCTAGCTCACACTGGTCTATGGGACAGAAACCGTTTTCAAGATTCATGAAAATGGACACTATGACATCTCCGTTAAGTGTGTACAGCTTTGGTGATGGCGGGACAACATCTACCATAGGAGCCATAACTCTGAGGATTTGACTCTGAGCTACGACAGTATCGTTGTCATCCAGAAGCAAAAACATGAGGCTACTTTCGTTTATAAACATGTTGCATGGGTACACCAACGACCCGGAAATCAACGGAAATGTTACGCGATTACGATGTATTGATTGATTCGTATCGACATCTATTAATTCTACGACGATAACTGGTAAATTTTCGTCGGTCAGGTTGTAAGTAACAGTGACGTTGTTGTTGCTGAAAGCCATGTGTGCGATTGGGGCCTGGATAGCGTACATTCCATGTCCAACATAAACTATATTTAAAATAGAAAATACAAAGGTTATACTCATTATGTCAAAAGTAGTTGATTATTGCTAATGATTGCTAATGACCAGGTAAACTCAGCAGGACCTATTGAAACGCCTATCTTATTCCGTCCGTCAAGCGTAACGGAACGTTCTTGTAATGATATGTGTAGATCTATCATATTACACTTTCATAAACAAAAACATCTTGTTTAACCGTCCGATTGATTTCACAGAATGCCCGCTAGTGACCCTACAGCCTCGATATCACAGACAGAAAATGAAAAGTGAAGATGAAGTCAAACACTTTGCATGGCAGTAATGAAAAGAGACTGTGTCGTGAAATAATACTTCTTTAAACGTACATTATATCGGGTGTGACTTAACTTTATTTACTCGTCCTTAAAAGCTTATCACAAAAGAATAGTTAAAATGTATTGAGTTACAGGGAAAATGCTAACTGGGCGTTTCGTGTGTGTCAACCAAGTGATTTGACGCTCACACCGTGAATGATTTACTGTTTTAGATAGAATAAACTAAAAAATGTACGTTTTAGAAACTTTGAAAGTTCATTGTAAGCAAAACTTTTGCCCTTCCTGTGAATTATTTTGTATTCGTATTCGAAAAGAATACCGTTGTATTCCGGTTGATTGGCGGCATTTGACGGCCATTAATCTAATATGTGAAATAAACATACGGGTTTATTAAGCTCTATATTTTTGATAATGGGACAACGTGCTTCAACATACAATAAATGTAATACATTAGTTACACCCAGCATTTAATCACGAGGCCCCGCTTAACATTTGCGCCTTAAGCCAGCCGGTAATGTCTAGTAAAACATACTATAACAATGTAGAACTATCTATTTCAGTTAGGCCTAAGTGCCTATTATAGAGTGAAAGAAAATAGAACGAAGAAATGTAGTCACTAAATGTTTAGCAATTTAGACCTATAAATCTATCCTCCTCTCTCTGGGTCTATGTATGGGGGTGATAAATATACATGAAGGAGAAAATTTAATCCACACCAGAAGAGTTGAGGGAAATGTTTGTTGCTCTAGGCCAACACGGAAATAAATGAATACATACTATGATAAGCCCATGATAAAATATACTATAAAAAAAAAACCAAAAAAAAACCAAAAAAAAAAACACTGAAATAAATCTCGCAATTAGTATTCTAAAAGCAACATCTCGATACTTGTTGAAATTCAAATCAGACTAGCTGAGTATGTGTATCTTATGACATACTCACTTAAAGCAGACTATGGAAATCATAACGAGGATTGCGTGTTAATGGCGCGAATAAATCATGTAGGCCTACTTTGCTATAAATCAAAAATGTCCATAAAACTCATAAATGAAGGACAATATAGAATCGTATTACCTAACGAAACGAAAATGAAAATGGTAAGTATCCATCGCCTGTCCTTATCCATTGGATCTCTACCACGTCTTTGCTATGGATGCAATTAATGCCTGTCACATTGTATTTACTGACACACTGGGTCTCAACACTGTTCACATACGCCTGTATGGCAAGAGCCTGAAACAAAAATAAAAGAAAACGTCAAGTTCGTCAATATGATGATTAAGCAACCTTGATTTGTTATGTGCCAAAGAAAATGCAGTCAGTAGCAATCCAATCGGATGGTTATCTTCTGAGATTAGCAGAAGATAACCATATATAAAGACTTACAATTGTTCTCAATTTCAAAGTAAATTACAGAGGAAAATTTAGGGGGTATATTCCTCTCCATTTATTTTTTTGTATTAAAAAATAAATCTGTAAAGCTTATCAGAAAATCAAATTTTACCAAACTAAAATGGCACAAATACAACATCGAATTAAGGAAAGTGCTGCGGCTTCAAGAAGTTGGCTCTCCTGAGCACCCATGACTCTCGCTCCGCTTGCACGTGTACCCCACCAACCCACACCTTCAACTTTCTTAACAAACAAGATTCGCCCAACCCCAAAAATAAACGTGTGGAGTCTGTTTAGTCTTATAACTTAAATTTGGTAAAGCTTTGATCAAACTTAATAAATGTTTAACCTACGTTTCCTGAATTAAACAGCGATTAAGGGGTAATGATCTCATTTATAAGCATTCACCTATTAGTAGCCCACATTCGTATGGCGCATGATGCGCCTTTTGCAGTAGTACTTTTTCTTTGGGTTGGGGAGGGTATGGGTTATACATTGTACTCCATATTATGGCATTAATAGAAGTCTTGTAATAACAAATTTCTATGCCTATATCTCATATTATAATAACCGTTTCTTCTTAAATTACAATTTAACTGTGTTCGATGAAAACAGGACAACCTACTTGGCGAAGTCAGAGCTTATCTCTTGTTAATACCATACTAAATCTCTTCACTTTAGTAAATTTGTTACCTCGTAAATAATATGAAACTGTGTAATGATTACTCAATTTGGTAGATACTAGATATTTTTAACTGATGATTTATTTGAAATTTGACGCCCTGATTCTGTAAGCCAATTTTCTGTGACGATATCTAAACATAAACTTAAAGTAAAAAAAAAAGAATTTTATATACTTGAGTAAGTGTGTAACTTCAAACTAAAAATATAAGCAAGTAAATAATTGGTAAAATAATACAATTTCTATTATAGCAGTTGTCAACACCCTGCATTACTATTTTTTTTTCTATTGATCGTCTGTAAATATATTAACATTGAATACTTATTTTTGGTCTTTGACATTAGGTAAGTTGAAACTTATATTATTTTATATTACATAAGCAATTAAAATTATTTAATTTTTCGATGGCCGTAAATATTTAATTAGGAAATTAGCTCTTACAGATGGAAGAAATATTATATTATATGATGATATCAAAAACAAAATAATAACTTTAATTATAGTAATGTTCAAGATTACCTACAGTAATAAAAAATATATTTTGCTAATTAAGATTACAACAATTATTATTAATATTTAGAAAATTATTATTATTATTATTATTATTCATATTATTATTATTATATTATTAATGGTTAATGGTTAATGGTTATTAATTTATAGAGCGCAAAATACAAAAAGTCTCTATTATTATTATTATTATTATTATTATTATTAATATTATTATTATTATTATTACTATTCTCACATGTGTTGCTTCTAAAGCGTGACAAGTCTTCGTTCAATAATTTATAGAGTCGTAATAGTGTAAAATTATTTTTCAACGATATTTTAATGGACATTAAAAGGAACTCAAAAAATCCCACTAATGGTAAAACACATTAAATAATGGTGCTACTATATAATTTTCATCAAATCTGTGCACGCGTCTGAACGGTAAATCGTCACAAACTTTTGGTCTTTACTTAAATTAGTACCGTACCGGTATATGATGATCACAGCCGCCATCATAATCATCGTTAACCATCATCATCATTTGTGTTTTACAAATACACCTATAGGCGAAGCTTAAAAAAATAAAGAAGGCCTACGAAAAGTTTGACTTGATAAGGTACGTTGACAGATGGGGGATTATACAACCTCAGCCCCCACCATTTACGATTATGTCACCTCAAGGTGGCCAGAAATGGCACTCTCAGATTTAAAATTTGAATGTAATTATTTTCTTTTTTTTTTCTTTTAATATTTTACAATTATTTTGAAAAATTGAGGGTGGGCCTGTCCGGAAGCCCACCCCCACTCTTAATCTGCCACTGATCAGTGCTACTGGGCAGGCATACAATAATTATCAATGATCAGTCTATTTATAGGCCTACACAAATCATCAGGCCTAATTAAAGTTGTGTATTTCATAAGATCTCCTACCTTCTCATACTGAAGATAAACTTAACGATACAGAGTATAGGATTTTAATAGACAAGTAATTTATGTGAACCCTACAACTATATACAAAATCTCACAGTCTCGTGTACTTACACTTGCAACTGAAGAGATCGAAACTTATCTCTTAAAAGTTGTTTTATTCATCTTGATCAGGGACAGAATAAACAATGATTTTTAAAGCACAGGATTTCCTTAAAGGCCTACTTTATTACTTTACATTTTTTTAGGCCTACTTTGTACGGTATTTTCTAAAACGGGATAGCCTCACGCGCACACTTTTCAGTTTACGTAGTACACACTAATGACTAGGCTAAATTATGTATGAAGATCAGGTCCCCTATTGCCTACCTGTATGCTGACTGCCTAGTTGCCATATTCCTCTTCTCGACAGTTTCATTCCACTGCGTCGTACCAATTATTATTATTTTCTATAAACCAATGAAGTTAACAACAACGAACCTTCTAAACCTCCCACCTAACGTGACATCATCGTGAACTTGCTGAGTATGCCGCTAGGCAGCCTCCGACCATTATAAAATTACCATCTCCGACTCGGAGGAATGTTTGCTTAGCCAATGTCAGCTAAACGCACTACGGACCACCATCCGGGTCAGAATATTAGTGACTGACAGCTCCTAATGTTGTCTTTTTAATCTAATTGGCTGTTTTAATGTCTCAAACTTCATCGATAATGACGCGTTTCACAGCCATGGGTTTATTTTAATTAAACAGTGTGCAACAATAGTTTGAGTACTAAGAATAACAGATTCACTGTAACATAAATATGACTAAGCCTATATTTTTACATAGGTATATCGTACATCAACGCA